ACCCCTGCTTTTAGAATAAGTGGGATCAGCACACATGTATGCCTTTCACATTTCCAAATGTAGGAATTGTCTGCTCTCATCTATCTGATTGGTATCAAACGGAGGTGGAATGGAAGTAGATTGAGATAATGGGACAAAATGGTAATGGGGCAAATAAATTTAATGAATAAATAAATAAAAATAAAAGGAACCCAGCTAGTGCTGGGAGAAAATTATGTAGAGACTGGCTAGTGACCAGAGGAGGCATACTGTATCTTCCGCTATTCCCAAAACACACCACAATAGATCAGCTGATCTTGGCTCAGAGTTAACGAATGATAAATAATTTATTCCTTTGACGTTGTGGCAGATTGTGCCATCTTAAGGAGGAAAGTACTACTTGAAATAGTTAGATAGTGTCATCAATATATGAGTTTGGGCAGATTCTTGGAGACAGTGGAGGACAGCGGGGTCTGGTGTGCTGTGGTTTATGAGGTTGCAAACAGTTGGACACAACTTAGCGACTGAACAATAACTACTACTTGAAAACAAGTTTATCTTATGTCAGCTTCAGGCTGGGAATGAGTTGAGAACATGATCATGTAGCCAATGAAAAGGACTGTGCCTCATATGTCCTTATCAAATCCATAACAGGAGCAACTACTCTGTGCCTCCTCAGAAAATACTCCTGGAACTTTAGACCATTCCATTTCACAGATCTGAATGTTGCATCTTGGTAAGAGGGAGCGTACTTCTGGCTTCCTTTCTTAGCTTGATTAGATTTCCTTTTAGCGCCTTCCGGGACGTTTGCCAAAGAGCAGAAAGATTGCTCTGGGAAAACATCCAAGAATATTGGGTCTTCCTCTGTAACTTCCTTAGAAGAATCTGTCAACGATAGGGCACAGTCTCACTGTTGTTGGAATGTTCTTCTTCTCCCTTGCTGGGCTATTTCAGGAATGGACTCAAGAACACTTCCACTGTCAGCCTGTGGGAAGTTGGGTATATCTCTTTTCCCTGTTCATTTAGAGCTGCAATCACAGCAGGTTCTTCTGTGGCTGCCTCTCTAAAGCAGTTTCTCAAGCTCCAACTTCTTAAGGTCTTCCTTAACTGGGAGATTGCATTCCAGACATGGTTAGCAAGATTCTTATTCAGTAACATGATAAAGCACTCCACTGGAAAGATAACTAAAAATGAATCCCTTTGCCCTTTGATCCCTCAGGTGTACATTACAGGACATAAGTGTTGCTTCTTTAAAGGGGAAGGATGAAATCTGGAGATAAAAGACAGGTATGTCTCACTAGGCTCCCACTGAACATCTATCTACCGTGACATTAGAGTAGAATAGTTAGAAAAGTAGAATACTAAATTCTGGCAGAATGAAAATTAGCTTTTGAATCCATTCAGGGTTTCCTGAACTGATTTGGTTAACCTGCCTTTAGTTTTGCTGCAGTCTGCCTTAGAGCCCTGCTTCTCCATCTTTGAAGTATTGGAGAAGAGATTTATCTGCAGGCTTGTAAAGTACTTGTTGAGATTTTGAAAAAAAAAAAAAAGCACATTAATAAGGTCCCCAAAGAAAGTTCCCATTAAACAGTGAAAACCTCGTTTTAAAAAGCACTCTCTGTATTTTCATTTTGTTCACCTTTATAGGCTTGAAGTGAATGCTGAGAACCAGCAGGGAGGGCAAGTTGCCTTTACAACAGCTTCTAGGGTTTAAAAGCACTCTGCTTGAAGCCTCTTGAAACTTCACTGAAGTTTGAGGTATTAGAACGGTTCTCCCCTCTCTACCACTCACAACTGCTCTATAAAGGCATATTATCCCTGCAAGAAATAAATAGGCTTGGATCAGAAGGAACCTGATAAAAAGTAACTTAATAGGAACCATGTTCCCCATTTCTGACCTACAAGAGTCCCATCAAAGACCCTGGAAACTGGGACTGCCATAGGACGGATCCCTGGAGGAACCGTCCCCATTTCTGTTCTCTTCCTTACTGCCCCTCTCCCAAGTTTTTCCGCATAAGACGAAGGACCCCCCACCGCGACCGTCTGCTTGTTTTCCCACTCCCACAAAGCAGTTCAATAGACTTCTGGAAACGGATCATGAAGGCGCTCCCAAGCTGAAGTCCAAAGTCTTTGCATGAATTAAAGTTCAGCGGTCTGAAAAGATGTATTTGTCCCAAGAAAAGGACGGTGACAATTTAAAAATCTTCCCAGCGGTGTAAATTTGTCCTGAAGTGATAAAACAAAACAAAACGCGGAACTTTTCCGCTCGGCAAAGCGAGACTCAAATTCTCTTCCTAGGCTTTCTATCTTTCCAAAGGGGCGTTCAAAATAGTTACCAAGCAGCGGGCGGGCACACAATCCTTTGACAAATAAACCCCAGTGAATCAGCTGCGAGCTGCTTGTGACTTTTTATTTAGAGGATCTTTAGGAATATGCTTTCGCCCTGAAAACGGGCGGAGTGAGGAAAAGTGCTCAGACGCAAGGAGACAGCCGAGGAACTTAAGGCTGAATACCCACGACAGGTATCCCGAATGTCAACTTTGCTATAGGATTTACTTCTGAATAAAATCTATTCTGCTTCAAACCTACGAACCCATTTAACTGCATTTAAATCAGCAGGGGTGCCTTCTGAATATATTGGGCTTTCTGGTGCTGTAGAACTGCAACTGAACCCACCGCTGACGGTGTGCTGACGGTGAGATATTTTGAAGTCCCATACAGACTCAACTTTATTTTTGAGAAAATCATACTGATGTGTACTTGCAATCTGTGGAGGTTAATTCAGGCAAGAGCTACAGTTGTAAAATTCTGGTATTTCGGGATCAAAGTAATGGGATTTACTTTAAGACAATTTCTGTCCTGACTAGTATGTATTCATAACTGGCTAATCCCCAGTAGAAGAATTTCATCTTCAGTTAGCTTTCATATGCCTAATATTGAATTGCTGTTTTTTCCTGCAAATAGACAAACATAAATAAATCCTATTTTTTTTAAAAAATAAATAAATAATAAGCTGATTTAAATCCAGACTTGATGCCTTTTCTTTTCCATTTATGATTTATGCACATTTTAAGCCTCTTAGCAAACCCTGATACTTTTTATGGCTTTCAAATGAGTAGAATCAATCTTTTTTTTTCTTTCTGAATACTTATTTAAATTCTACCACAAATAACCTCCCCAAAACATTGTATAAAAGCAAAGCCCATAAATTATTTGCCTACAGGCCATTTGGGTATGAACAGTGAATAGTGTGTTGATGGAGATGTATCTGGGATAGTTCTTTAAATACTTGTTTAAAGAAAAGTCAAGCAGCACCTTATAACTTGGCAGAAGAAAGTATTTATAATTACATTGTTGAATCTTCTTTCCCATGCTCTGATCATTTCCATTAATGGCTTCATTTCTTAGTATCAAAGCTATTGTCTTAAAGATGCACCCAAAGTATCTATTTATTTGTAATCCCAGGTATATAACAATTGACTGTTTATTCAGTGGAAAAATGGCCAATGCTATTTTATGTTTTTTTTAGAAGTTGGCAGAATAAGAATGATTATAACTGAAGTTTAAGCTTAAAACTTTCATTGTAACTTTACATTTTGCAAGATCCAATTTTGGCCATGAACAAGGTTCTGGCTTTTAAACACTTTAAATTTCAGTTGAATTGAAGTCCTGAAACAAAATATTCCACAAAACATAATACGAAATGTAGCAAATATAAAATTGAGACAAATTAAATTAGGACAACATTTTATTTTGTTCACTTTATGGTCAGCAACATTATACATTTAAAATCTAAAAAATGTCTCCAATATTTCTCAAAATATACCTACTTTCTTAAACTTGATGTCTACATCTGTAATATACAATTTCCAAAATATTTCTGTTATTGATTAGTGCACTTTTTTTAAAAAAAAAACTAAGGAGTTTAGTCCATAAGGCACAATATTGAGCTTATAAAAAAAGCTACTAAATGATTGGATGCTGGAACATTAAATGAAATTATCAGGACTTTTGCATAGTTCCTTGAAAAAGTCTGAAGTAAATCGATGCATTTTCAAATATATGTTAAGGATTAGATGGTTGTTGTTGTTGATAAAGATGATGATGTGTGTGTAACAGAAAATGGATTGTTAAGAAATATTTACCATTCTCACAAGTTGATAAATTACATTTGATTTCCAGAAAAGCAGCTGTTATAAGACATAGAAAGTTAGTGATCTATGAAGCAAACACAAAATATTTGGTATGTGATGAAAATCAGAATTAGTGGCATCTCTTGCCACTAATTAACGGATAATATATTCTGATTGGAGGTTATTCTGTGGGAACTCTAAGAACTGTGCCATCAAACTGTTTTTCGATGGATAGTATTCTGTAGATTAGGTCTCGGTATCTCATCCTTTGAATGACCCTCAGTTCATACTTTAGCTTGTAAAATGATATATTGGGACCTAAACTGAGTTTATGCCTTAGTCAAAAGTAGGTCTAAGTATACTCCCTTCAGCATTTGCTGCTATTACTTTTTGTTTTAACGGACAGGTGAAAATAAAAGACAGCAGGATGAACACAGAAGAAAGAAAAAATAATAGAGATGATGCAAAAAACAAAAACAAATGGAAGGGAACAGGATAAACTAATCAAGATAAAACCATTTAAAAGTGGATCTCATATCAGATTTAAAGAGGTCAAGAGAGAAATGGCCAGGTTCAAATTATCCTATTCTGGACACATTATATGAAGACCTAACTCTCTGGGGAAGGCAAAGAGAAGTCTAGGATGACCAGCAATAAAGTGAACGGACACAATTACTTTGGTAATGAGTGCATCATTTGAAGGCCTTAAAAACCCTGTTAGGAACAGATTTCTATGGAGAAAAATCTGTATGGTCACTAAGAGGCAACACTGACTTGATGGCATTTAATCAACCAAATGGGACTGTAAATGCTGAAGGCTGCCTACATAAGGTAATCTGACTAGATGCTTATGGGACTAATGTGGAACACCAGCTTTTCAGCATCACTTTAAACTTCTGTCCCTTCTCTGCTATAAATCAGATTGTTCACACTAAAGGTACTCAGGACAGGACTGTTGAGCCAGCTCGACTGCCCACCAACACCTGCATAGTAATTCATCCTGGAGTGGGACTGGGAACTGAGTTCAAATGCTGAAGCTGGGTTGCCATTTGAAGGAGAGCAGGAGTTCAGATTGGGCCCATTCTGCCTCCCAGATGTGAATTCGGATACTGGCCCACCAGAAAGCTGTCTGGGGAAACCATTCCGGCCATGGGCCACAACGTTCATGGTTGAGACAAATGTGGAGAAACAATGGCTAGAGTCCAGGCTGTGGGATTTGCAGTCATTCCTAGATCCCAAAGAGCACTGCAGCTCACCAGAGCCCAAGCTGCGAGGTTCAGGGCTTGGCTGAACAAGACAACTGTTACTTTTCTCCTCCATTTTGTTATTGGCGCCAGGCCCACCAGCTGCATCAGATCGTCTTTTCCTCTTCCTTCTGAAGTTGCCATTATCAAACATCTTCTCACAGTTGGGATCCAGGGTCCAATAATTCCCTTTACCTATGAATCAATGGAGAACATGTGGGTTTAACAGGGGTACACAAATACTCTAGAAACTGAGATACTGAAATGATCAGAACAAATGATTCTAAAATGGGTAAAGTAATTGGAGGACACAAGGCAAAGGAAGTGGAGCAGACATCACCTAACACTGTCTTAAGAATTCATGACAGAGCTGACATTCAAGTCCAGGACTTCCTGATTTATCAGAGTTTTAGTCATGGCAGTACACTTGGACCATTTTCTCACTTGTGATTTATACTGTCACCCAGCACGGCTGTGGTGACAAATCACTTAACGGAGACAGATTTTCTATCACCGTAGCAATGGATCAGTGACATTATAAGCTGAGATGACCACTCAAAGTGACCCTTTGATTGTATAATTCACATTAGTGGCATAAGGTAAACTTAACACGCCCTTGGAGGATCCATCAGTTGTTGCGAGGAGCTTGGAGAAACAGCAAGGCAGAAATGGAGCAAACAATATTTTCTAGCCCACAGTAACTTGAAAGAAAGCACCATTAATTAAAATAGGTTTAGGTGAACAGGTGTTAAGATTGCACTGCAAGCAGGCAAGTTACATTCCCCATGTTTAGAATATAGCGCTTATAGTGGCGTATATATTCATCGTATCAGTTTTGGATATCCCTTACATTCACAACATTGCCATATGCACACAAATTAGGTAAGAGCTTCAAAGGTATGTTAGAATATGCACTATTATTTTTGCTCTGCTGTGAAAAATCATATAGGCCTTTTCTCCAAAGTTGGGGGGGTGTTCTCCTGGTCTCACGACTCCTGCTCGAAGAGGAGGTTGCAGTCGCGACCAGGAGAGCCTTTGCGCGACTTCGGGTTGTGCCCCAGTTGCGGCCTTTCCCGGATAAGGAGTCCCTGCACTCAGTCATGCAGGCCCTAGTCATCTCAAGGTCGGACTATTGCAATGTTTTCTACATGGGGCTACTCTTGAACAGCATTCGGAAGGTGTTGAGATGCGACAGGTCTTCAAGGAAAAGCAACATCCAGTTTCCCTTGGAAAAAGCACCTTTGGGACCCCCCACAATCCAGATGACTGAGTATCTCCATAGACATGTAGATGTCCAGACTTATTTCCAAGGAAACAAGCTCCTGGGGCTGCAGCCCAGCCGGCCCTTAGGTTTCCTCCGACAAGCGTGAAAAGGACAGTTAATCAAATCTCCGTTCCCACGTGACTTCCGTGCCTCTCAGAGGGAGAACGAGGAGAAGCGCGGGAAGGAGTTCCAGCGGGCGCCGCCCGATTCACCGCGCCTGCGGACGCGGCTCGAAGAGCCTTCCTTACCTGGGTCGTCCTCCAGCCTCGGCACCTTCTTGAAGCAGTCGTTGAGGGAGAGGTTGTGGCGGATGGAGTTCTGCCAGCCGGCTTTGCTCTTCTTGTAGAAAGGGAAGTTGCCGGCCACGTACTGATAAATCTGGCTCAAGGTGAGCCTCTTGGCCGGCGCGCTCTGGATGGCCATGGCGATCAGCGCCGAGTACGAGTAGGGCGGCCGCACCACCTTGAAGAAGTCCTGCTGGCCGGCCAGGGACAGCCAGCTGAGCTCGGGGGCCGCCGCCTGGGCGGCCAGCAGCTGCCTGGCGCCCGTCCCATAAGCCGCCGAGGGCACGAAGGGGCCGGACGCACCGTTGGGAGCGGCCAAGTAGGGGCTGTGCGCCACGGGCGCACCGTTGAGCCACAGATAAGGGCCGCCGCCGGTGCTCGAGTCGCCCAGGCCGTGGCCGCCGTGGGGCGGGACTTTTGGCGCCTGCGAGGTCGGGAAGAGGCTCCGGTTGTTGTCGCAGAAAGTGGCTGCCGCGTCCAAGAGATCGCGAGCGCTGAGGGGCTGCTGGCCCTCCGGTGGGTTCATCTCGGCCGCTTCGCGCACCATCAGCGTGCGAGAGAAAACCGTCAGCAGCGGGGCCGGACCCGCCGGCAGCGGAGAGGCAGTGGGTTAGGAAGGAGCGGACGGCGCCTCCCCCTCGCCTGCCCATCTGCCCCCCTCCAGGGCCCGAGCTCACCTCTCCCTGCACCGACCCCCGATGACCTCCTCTCCCCATCGTCTCTTGCACCCCCGCCTTCCCCCCGCGATCCACATCAAGCCTGGAGGGCCCCCACTCTTCCTCTCCTGTCAGACTGCCCTTTGGGGACTCGGGACTCGTTTTTCCAGAAATTTATTCCAAGAAGATTGGGATCGCCCACTGAAAAAGGAATAACAGCAGGGAGTGAGAAGTTATAGATTGACTGTAGCACTGTACAATTTGTACTGTAGTTACAAACACAATTGAGCCCCAAATTTATGTTGCTAAGTGAAACATTTGTTAAGTGCCTTGGCTCCATTTTGTGATTTTGCTTGCCACAGTTAAGTGAATCATTGCATTTGTTAAGTTAGTAACATGGTTGTTAAAGTGAATCTGGCTTCCTCATTGACTTTGCTTGTCAGAAAGTCGGAAAAGGGATCACATGACCTCGGGACACTGCAACCGTCAAAAATATGAACTAGTTGCCAAGCGTCTGAATTTTGATCATGTGACATCACAATGGTCATAAGTGTGAAAAATGGTCATAATTTCCTTTTTTCAGTGTTGTAACTTTGAACGGTCACTAAATGAACTGTTGTAAATCAAGGACTACCTGTAACCTGAACATACACAGATACTTTGCTTAAGTTCTCAATCCACCAAGGAAGATGATGGTGGGAGTGTTCCACTGTGATCAGACGGTCAGCTAAATTTCAAGATCCTTTACGCTCCTGATACCAGATCACTTTTTTGGTCCCATCCACTGTGCAAGCTCAGCTGGTGTGTTAATATGAAAATAAAAGTTCCACTGAGACATTTGAATGATGCTTGTCAATCAATATAAGAGTTCACGAAAGACCTTAAGGAATTTGTGTGTATTCGACGAACGAAGATTCGGTGTGGACTCCATGTGTAGGTGTCCAACTGTTGGTGGTACCCCGACACCAACCATACGTACGAATATAAAATTTCAACATGGTCCATTAGTCAACAAAGAAGTTGGTCCTAGCTAGTTATGTAAACGAAAAGGGTTCACTTATTAGAATGAGGCTGCCTTGCCTATTAGCTGTTTGGAGAAGTTATGGACCAATTCTCTTGTGAGGGCTTTGTTGTTCAAATGATTGAACAATATAACTAAAATGCATGTAGTTTTTACATGAATTCAAAATATTTATCAGACAGGCAGAAAACTTTCATGTGCATATTCTAGCAGCAATGCAAGTTGGTGATTGTTGCAAAATTCTACCAAATGCACAAACATCTTTTCATTAAAAACTTTTAAAACGTTTTATATAAATCTGCTTTTCTCATCTTTGATACTAGAAATTCTCACTATATAATACATGTTCATATTATTTCCAGTGTTCATTGTCTCTCTGCAGTTGTTTGCTGTAATTAGTACAAAAGAAAATAAAGTGCAAAATTTTCCTTTTGTTTTGTTTTTCTCATGGTCATAACAAATGTCTTTGATAAGCAAAAAATTTAAGCATGAACACATTAAAGAGGAGTATCAAAATTTAAACATTGCTCTGTTGTGTTTAAAACTTCAAAGCAAGACTTCCAATGTACCAAAGGTTTGATTGAATCATTTTATCAGAGCAGAACTGATGCAGAAACCCACTTCAATGAAATGAATCATGAAGCACCCTGTAGCCTTTGAAAGGCTTCACAGATTCAATGACTTTTCTGCTATTTCAAGGTTATTACAGACGATGTATAATATCACAACTTCACCTGCATATATATAAAAATACCGAAAGTGGTGTGGTAGGTTCTCTGACATGACATGAGTAGATATCATTGAGTTTTCCCTCCAACTCTACCCTTACTTTCTCAACTTTCAACTTTAATGGGCCCAGCCATGAGTCTTAACTTTGCCTTGTGGAAATGGAAAGTTACATTTCTTACAATACAAGTGGTAGTACAAATAACCTCTTAGCATTATGAACATGGCTTAAAGCTAGCCAGTCCAGTAGACAGTGATGTCAAATTGTTAATCTTGTAGAATTGAGGCGGTTTTAAGTATCTTGGTCATGAGTGAATGTATGCGAGGCTGACATAGGTACTAAAATATTTACTGCTGTTAAGAACAGTGGGGAAGATGGCAAAGCTATAAATGCCACTTTCTTTGTGACAGAAAGAAAGTAGTAGCCACTATTGGCTGCCATCCAACTAGATAGCAAGCTGGATCCCTGCCACAGTCCAGTGATATACAGTAGGAGCTCAGGCAGAATTGTATTTTGGAAGAAAGAAGTCCAATATCTTAGGAAGGCATCTGTAAACATTGTCAACAGGCCTGGCATAGGTCAAGACCAAGTCTCCAGTAAACAAGTAAACTATCCAAGGGAAAAGACAGGAGACAAAATGATGTAGAATCCAGAGTTCTAAGCGATGCACAGCAAAGTAATTACAATAGGCTTGAAAATATGTTCTTCATGTTTCCCCCCCTCCCAGGAAGTGAGGCTAATAAAAAAGCCAAACTAAGCCTCCACTCAAATGTACAGCTGAGATGCATAACTCTTTATAGAGACTACTGGTCTGCTTCTTGCCAAATCTCACCAACCTACACAGCACAGTTCTTTATACCCTATGCCTCTGTCTCAGAGTCTGAGACATTTTCAGTGGATACAGGTAGGAAGTTCTGCCAGTTTTGGCTCCACCTCAGCCAAGCAGAGTCAACAGCTCCAACCCTATGGAATGACCCAGTCCAGTCATTACACCTTTTCCTCCTCAGTTGAAATATACCCAACAGGGCATGACCTCCTTCTTAATGATGTGCCTTTGTGGCCTTGTATCTTACTCCAAAGTCTTGCAAACTAATATCAATTATTGTCAACAAGCCATAATGTGACCCAACCAAGTCATACCCATAAGATTCCAACCATTACTAATGGTCCTTTTTCAGCCTGCCGTCACTGAAGAAGCTTATGAGAAGGTCCTTAACAGGATGGCCTATGTTTACCAGGCAAGTATGCCAACCTTTCACAAAACTCAGTGATTAGAACAAGGAAAGATGCATTACATCATCAATGGTATTTTTCTAAGCCTTCCCAAAAAAAGGGAAGCTTCGAATTTTCTTAATCAAGCTGGTAACCCACCATAGCCAATGGTGAAGAAGATCTCCCCAGGCAATTAAAGATGTACAAAAGCTATACAGTAAAAGCAACTTCCAACTAGGAGAATTAAAGGTAGAAAGGCTAACAAGGAACTGCAGTAAGATTCCCTTTTGTGTCTGACAATTCCTCCTAGAATCTCCCAGCCATTGCTGAAGTTATAGAAAACCTGTCCAAATTGTTGTGTCATCCCAACAATGATTGGACGATTGCACAAGATACTGTAAATCCTTAGCGGGGATTGTGTTTTCTTTTTTGTTTCTGCTTTTACTTTCCTCAGTTGGAATCATGATTCTCTTAGGGTTTGCCCTCTTGCCTTCTTCCTACATGAAAATAGAGCCTTTTCTGCGTCTTCCCCCAAAATTAAGGGGAAAGCTCAGAGAAGAAGGCCTTACATGTAATTTCTTCAATAAATCTTACTCATCCTTTTTGAACTTAAGCATTGACATAACTTTAGTGACTTATTTCTTTTTGTAGTCATATTTATGCACTGCTAAGTACAGAATTTAATGAATGAACTGAAATATTCCATCTGGGTTCCTTCAACATTTGTTTGACCTCCAACTCTGCCAACTTCCATGTTTTCCCCAAAACTCAATAGAGTCAAACAAGCTACATCACCCTACAGGAGCAAACCAGTGTCTATTCTTCAGCATTAAGCCAAGCCCGACATTGCAGAAAAGCAGATACTTTAAACTGGGATAGGGGACTTTCTGCTTTGCTTTCAACACAAATTATCTATACATTTTTTGCTAGTTAATAGGGAGACTGTTGGACTGTCTTTTCCTCATTTCTGCTATCCCTGACTTTAAAAAGAGATATAGGAGGAATATTTCAAAATATTATTGTGGGGGAACTCTTGATAGAATTAAGTTACAACTTTTCTCGATTCTGTCCTCTGAATGGTTTGCCATCCCTCCTTTCTTCATTCCATACTGCCAAAAATAAAACAGTTACATAGCGCTACAATAAGTGGGCTGCAGAAATCAAGATATCCACTAAATGGCATGAAAAGAATGAACAAATTCTTTCCTGCCATCTAGTGGTTCTCTGGATTTTTGCATCCCTCATCTGATAAGCTCTAATAACAATGGTTCAATAAATTACTGAAAATGCAGAATCATTTGCTGGAAGGCTAAGCTTTTGTTTGAGCGTACTAAAACCAACTTGAAATACCTTCTGTGCAGTTAAAAACTGCTGGTGGAGCTGTCCTTCTTAAACATGGCTTCCCTTTAAAAAAGAGATAGAAAGATCAAGCCCAGTTTCCCCAAGTAAAAATAAACTAAGACAGTTTAATTGAACCTGGGAGCAATTCAGCTTGATAGCAGAGAGGTGCTTCACTCAGACGTACCATATAAACAAAAAATATATAAAATACTTATTTATCCATTTATAATACAGTCCCATGTATGAAAATAAATATAATAACTTGTCTCACTTTAGTTTTCATGAAATTGATGACATCCTACATATATACAAATGGAGCTGCATTCTGTGGCTGTAATCCTCTGTATATTTCTATGTCAATAAGCCCCTTTAAACTCATTGATATTTAATCTCAAGAAGCAAGCAAAAAATTGCCTTGCTTTATATTCCAAATACATTCAGTGAGGTTATGTGCTTCTCAAATTCCCAAGAGTGTAAAGACATTAAAATGAAGAGAGAAAAGGAATTTGGGAAATAAATTTTGTTTCTAAGATTGAGTTACTCTTGGTGAATGACATGAAAAGGTATCC